ATGGTGGGCATTCAGTTATTGATTGTAGATGTTTTTGAGTACTTGTTCTGCTTTAGAGAGATGTCTATTAAAACTATATACTTCTATCATTTTAGATTTCTTATTGTAAAAGATTCAAGCCCTTAAGTCTGAGTAAGAAATTGAAGATAAACTTTATTTGTTTTGATTTACTTAAAGACAATAAGATTTTATAATTTCTCTAAAAATGTTCTTTCAGTTGTTAGACTCAATATAGTTGAGTTTTGTTTAACAATGAAAACATACGTTTACTTGTAAGAAGGAAAGACCTTGTTGTACAAGCAGAGTTTATTATGAAATAGTATATGAAAAAGTATAATATGAATATTACCAGGAACTGATACATCAGCTACTCCAAAATATCCCAAGTATGCAAGCAAAACTGCCAGGGTGACAAGCTACAATGATTGTGGAGACATTGTGATACCACCAGATAGTTTAGCTACCTCGGGATTTTTCTATGCTGGCTTTGGTGACTGTGTTAGGTGCTTTCAATGTGGGGTTGGTAAGTATCTTTCACTCTAAGCTTTTCATAATAAGAAGGGAAAAAAGACGAGCACTTTTCTATTAAATGGTCTTAACAACACATAAACACATACAAGGCCTGTCCCGCTTTCTTTAACTCAAATTTGAGTGCAGCTTCTCTTCTTCTTTTTTTCATCTGTGGCCAAGCGCTTTAGATCATTGGCTTCGAACCACTTGCCCTCAACGCTGTGTATTCAAATCTAGCAAGGGACTATGGAAGCTATCCAGCTAGCTTACAGAACATCGGTGGTTCTACTCAGGTGCCAGTTTGTGCCTGAAATAAAGAAAAGAAAGTCAAAAGAGGTCTTCCTCCCCCAGTAAAGCTGAGAAGTAGCCATAAGACTTCTTCTGTCTTGGATGGACACAAACCCACCCACCAGAATTTTAGTAATTGACGATTGTTTTTGTAAAAAAACAAATTTTAACATTAATTGGCAATAACTTTCAATTATGAGTTTCTTGTATGATTTCTTATGAATTATCCTTGATTTTTAGGTCTTCGTCATTGGTCAGAAGAAGACGATCCTTGGATCGAACATAGTAGATGGTCAAAGGATTGTTTATTTGTTAAACAAGTGAGAGGTCAAGAGTTTGTGAATATTGTTCAAATGGCTGTACAGTATTCTCAGAATGTAAGTTTCTAATATCTTCTCTGACATTTTTGTGTTGGAACCATTTTTTGAAAAAGACTGATTAAAGAATCTGCCTTGTACTAAGTAAAAATATCTTCATGTACATGATTTATTTATTTAATTGTGCTTGTAATAATTTTTGTTTTATTGCTTTGAGATTACAGACAAAACTATCATTTAAGCCAATATGTAGATGCTTTTAAGATATTTAACTGTTTACCTATTTTTTTTAATTAGCAAAATGGAAACGACCATACTCCAGTTGGAAGTCCTACCGGTAAGATTTGTTTTTTTGTTATGTAAAATAAGCAATAATTGCAAACAATGAAAATTAACTAAACACCAATAAACAGTTGCTCTGAGAATATTGAATACATTCTATGGCAAAAAATTTGTGTTTTAATTCCAGTTTTTCCATTTCTTTCTCCATTCAAAATACTCAATATTTCTTTCAAAAGACCACCTTTTGGGATGTTTGATTAGATACTAGAAAATGAAATGGAACAAAAATGATAAAAAATGCTATTTTTTGTTGTTGTTATTATGCCCCTTTGAACAAGAAGGGGTATATTGTTTTGCAAATGTCAGTCAGTGAGTTGGTCGGTTTGTCTGTCTGTAGACCACATAGTTGCCGCTTATTATCTTAAAAACTGTTTATCACAAAGTCTTCATATTTCACATAGTGATTGGTCATAACTAGAAGATGACCCATTTTGATTTTGTAGTCACTAGGTCAATGTTCAATGTCACAGGGGCCTTAAATGTCAGAATTATTTCTTCTTATTATCTTTGAAATATTTATTACAAAGTCTTCATATTTCACATACTGATTGGTCATAACTAGTAGATGACCCTTTTTTGATGTAGGGGTCATTAAGTCAAAGGTCAAAGTCATAGGGACCTTAAATGCCAGAATGGTTTCCACTTATTATCTTAAACTGTTTATCAATAAGTCTTCATATTTCACATATTGATTGGTGATAACTAGAAGATGTACCCTATTGACATTGGGATCACTATGTCAAAGGTTAAGGTCACAGGGGCCTTAAATGTCAGAATGGTTTCTGCTTATTATTTTGAAAACTCTTCAAAAGCTTGTCCGCCCAATAACTTAAGAATCCTTTGACCCACAGTCTTCATATTTGGTACTGAGATTGGTCATGATTAGTAGATGACCCCTATTAGGATCACTTGTTTAAAGGTCAATGTCACAGGGGCCTTAGATATAAATATGGTTTCCACTTATTACCTTGAAAACTTTTGATCACACTCTTCATATTTCACATATTGATAAGTCATAATGGGGTCACTAGTTCAAAGGTCAAGGTCTTTATATTTCACATATTGATTAGTTATAACTAGTAGGTCATTATTTTTTTTCCATAACTGAACACTACCATGTACCCATTTAGGGAAAGTTTTTATAACAAAATTACCAATAATAAGAGTCAACTGCTAAATAGGATGGCATATGTGTCATTCGATATTTCTTGTTATAATAGTGTTAATAGGATGTTTATATTTCAATAATTAAACGACATGTAATTTCTTTATCAAACAGGGTCGTCTTCTGATGCTGATATAGAACGCCAAATGCATACAGATGCTGCCCAAAGTGTACTAGAGATGGGCTACAGTCCACATGTCATACGAAGCGCCTTACGTGCATTGAGAGATGGAAATGGTACACACATTTAATTAACTTACATTAGATATTATAATTTGTATTTTTATTGATATGCATATTATGTAACAAAGCCTGTTTGTATCACAAAAACACTATAAACATATACTTAGTATTAATGTACAATCATTAATGTGCAGAAAAAAATCTTGCTTTACATGAGGATAAAAATATCAGGTTTATATTTTAAAAGATGGGCGAACTTTAAACGCCACCTTATTGATGGAGAAAATCTTCGAGTTAGAAGATGAAGCATCGGCCAATGATGAAAATAATCTACCTGTCCAAGGAGCATCTCCGATCCAGTCAAATGCAATTGCTCAAGCACCAGTTACAGTTAACAATAACACCCAAAGCCAAAGAGTATTAATTGATACTGGTTCAGCATCATCAAATTCTGCAAGGACTCAGTCGACTCCAGTAGGGGATATATCCTCCCAAGCATCCTTAACAACAAATGCAAGCAGTGAAGCAACCAGACCTCAAAATAGTATGTAAAACATTTAATTGGTTTCCCCTTGGATGTGACAAACAAATTATAGATAGTTGTATATTGTATAGGCTAAAAAAGTAAAATTGTTCGAAGATGAATGGAGATTAACTGACAAAAGGGGCTAAAGCTCTTCAGTATATGTATTTTTTGGTAGGTTGGAGAAATAAACAAACCAAATTATACTCTAAATTTTACATAAATACGATAAATGGATACACACCCATGCCTTTAGTCATATTGTAAAATATCAGTATGTTTAATTAAGCAGTCCAAAAATATAGTATTTAATGGTGTTTTTTACTTAATAATTGGTAACAAATAATATATCATGAGTCACAAAATGTGCTTAAAAGTTGAGAGACTGCGCTCAAAAAGTAATTGAATTTTGGAATTAAATGCCCGAGTGAATACTTCGTCATCAGTATAAAATTTAAGCAAATGTTATTTAATTTTCATTTTTAGAAAAGTCACAATTATTGGAACAGAAAAAGCTCAAACAAGAAAATGAACAGATGAAACAACAATCAATGTGTACCAAATGTAAACAAAATGATGTATGCATCGTTTTTCTACCATGTGGACATTTAGTTTCATGTGAAACTTGTGCACCAACTATTAGATACTGCTCGGTAGAAGGTTGTGGAAAATATATAAAAGGCACCGTTCGGACTTACCTAGCATAAAATGGTATGGTCTTTTTTGCGTTATATTCAATCTTTTATATATTGTTAATATATTTCTTTGTAAAAATTTTATTTGTTATGTTAAGAAACAGATATATCATTGGCACTTGATACTAGGATCTTTGTATTTACCATGTGATATAGAATTAATATAGCATGTAAGTTACGTAGCGTAATATATTATTTCAGTTCATTTCTATCAAATTCTCCTACATAATCATATTACATTTGACTGAAGTATACTGAAAAAATTGACGCCCTTGATTGAATAAGAAATATTTTTGTAGAATAATGGGTCATCACAGTAACTATACAGAGTGATGGCAATGGTCAAATGATACAGACGTGGAAGCCGGTTGAAAAATGATGGCCTTGTTGTATCACGAGAAACTGAAATATCATGAAAACAGTGACAAGCAGGTAATACAACTGAATTTGTATGACAAATAAAGGAAACAACCATATACAATAGTTCATACATATTTCTTTTGTTAGGAAATCAGTCATGGTTAATAGATTTAATGAACGACTGCGCTGGGTTAAAATTAAATGTTCTCAAGGTTTTTGAATTAAAGTAATAGAAAGAGCATCAAAACACGAGGCTATCTGATTTGTACGAGGGGCGCAGACCCCAAGTATTAATCAGGTTGCCGAGTGTTTTGATGTTCCTTCTCTTTTGTATCATAGTCAAACATAAAAACAAGTTCCCTGTTGTCACAATATGAAACCCCGGGAAAAAGTAACCAATGAACGAGCATCTGAATATGATATTTCTGCCGCTTTCCCTTTCTCTTCCGTCACAAAATGTAAACCCCAGCAAAAATTAGCCAATCAGTGGGCATGCTCTATAGTGCGGGTAACTAATACCTGCACTCTAGTTAACGCACTGTGCATGTATATGTATACGATTTAACTCTGACATATTTTCAACAGAAAGGTCCCCAAACTATGATACAACTTGTACATAATGATTGTTATTAAAATGCTAAAATATTTGTAACATGGATATGAATTCATTATAATTGTTTTTAATTAAAATGAAAATAAATGATTTGTTGCTTATAAATTATCTTCTGTCCCCATTTGTTTAATTAAGATAGATGCACTTAATTAACCATTTCAATTATAATGTTAGTTTATAGAATAAGTGAGAGTGATGGTTCAGTTCACATGAAGGAATATGAGAGAAGTGGTTCAAATGTTGTATTGAAGACTCATTTAAGTTAGCCATATGACAATTTTAAGGTTCTTGTTACCGTTTGTTGTACTGGTTATACTGTTTTAATTTTAAATATAATGATATTGTTATGTAATTTGTTTTGACCAATTACAGTAACTTGAGGAAATAAAGACATGGCATAGAGGAGCTCAAAGCAAGAACAAGTCTACTAAAATGTACAATGTTTTATCAATGTAAGAAAACACTGTATTCCTCTGCTTTTTAACAACATCATGCCTTATAATGATTTTTTTGTAAATAAATTTGCATAATGATAAAACTTTAAATGTCAACATTCAAAATAAGGAAAATAATTTAATTTGCTCTCATTCATTTAGATGTATCTTCCTTTAAGAAAGAAAAAAAGACATTAGCGTTTAACTTTTATTAAATGTTGTCAATTTTTTCAAATGTCCTTTTTAAAAAAAAAAGATTGAATTTTGTATGATTTAAGATCAGTAGCCCTGAATGGTAATAATAATCAAGAGTTTACACTGTTCTTTTAGGAGCATTCTGATGTTGGTTTTTGTATATGTCAAGTGATATTTTGACTTTTTAGCATTATTGATGTTGAAAAGCTACTGCATGAATTCATTAGTCATTAGTCATTAGTCATGAAAAGAACCAACAATAACAGCCATGTGGTCAGGTATAAGTGATTTTAACCACAAACAGAACAGATAAACATTGTATTACTTCTTTAATTGTATATGTTCTAAAATCTGTATAAATTAATTCTCAATCCTATTTTCTAAATTTAAATGTTCATATCTTTCAGGAATGAGAGGTTGACCCTGATACATTGTACACACATAATTGGATGGGAAATTTTAGAGGATACTGCAGGGAACCAAATGATTTGCTTGCGGAGAAGCTTGTAATTATCGGTTAGTTATCAAATAAAGCTGGCTTGGTCGATCAACTGTCGATATATGATCATAATCACTATATGCTTAATCTGAGTACAAACAAACAAAGAAATGGGATGAAACCAATAATAAGGCCTTCACATTTTTACTTTTTTAAGATCATAATTCATTGCTTATTAAGATTATTAAGATTCATAATTAAATCGCTGTTTCATTTGCTAAACATTTTAAGCGAATACGACGGGTATTTAAGAATTACAAAAATACATTATCAGCCATATTAGGACAGTCACACTGTCAGACAGAGCTACTTAAATATCCATTTATTTCAGTTCTGTTGAATAAATAAGTATCTTGATGTTTCATAGCACACAAGGTATGATATGAAAGGATAAACACTATATTTCAAACCATTATGATTATCCTATGATTACACTCCTTTTTATGGAGAAAGCTATTTGTAAATAAAGCTATGTAAATTTGTAAATAAAGGTACATGTATTTTGTAGTTATTAGTAAATAATGCTATTTTGTAAATATTCATTTTGTAAATAAAGTTATTTGTAAATATTCATCATTGTAGTCAATATCATTAAAGAAATTATCCAGTATTCTGATGTGCAATATGTAAGTTATAAATTCGGCATTATAATGAAACTGTATATATATTGTATATAATGTGTTTCCTTGTTTGTTAAATTTTGTGTTTGACAATTGTTTTATTTATATATTTATATAGTGTATTTTATATTTTGTGGTTAGTGAAGTTCATTTACTCAATCGTCATGGAGGTCTCTCAGACTAGGTTCATTATTATGATAATGATACCTTTGGTGTGAGAAGTCTTTGTCCTTTATAAGATACACATGTGTGTAAACGTTATTGTATCTATATATCATGTTTTGGCATTTTTGATTAAAATGTTAAAATATATGTTACATTGGTATGGATACATAATAATTGTTTTCATTATAAAATAAAATACGAAAAACAAATGATATGTTGCTTATAACTTACCTTCTGTCCCTATTTGTTAAATTTATTTAATTTAGAGTACCATTACAGTTTTAATGTAGTGATGTCTCAATGCACACGAATGGCCAAGAGAGCAGTGGGTCGAATGATAGTTTAAGGTAATGTCAGCTTATTTGTGAAGGTCTCTGCCGCATAACCCATGGATCATGGGTATACCATAAGCTCTACTGGGTCCATGATTCCTCGTATGTTACTATTACTGACTAGCTCTAGGAAGCGGACCCACGAGTGATTGTGCTTAAATTTGATCATGAAACATCTACTGACATTAATGCTATATAATGCTTGATAAGAGAGCGATAGAGTTTACCCTTTATAGCTTCTATAGATTCACATGTAAAATACGTACATAATTATATGTAAACTATACAAATATTCTTTTGTAAGCAAAATAGCTGAGGAAATATCTCAATATGGTGATATTAAGATATTTCCCCAGCTATTTTGCTTACAAAAGAATTTATCGTTTCAAGCTTTAGATATACGTTGATAAAAACAAACAAACAAAAAACGACGTATCAATATAAACACTAATGCTTGATAAGTACTTTATGGGATGAACTATTTTCAATTTTCTTCCAAGTATTTCCGGATCTTTCCGAAGTAGTTAAACAAGCTTTTATTTGGTCCCTATGTGGTTTCTATGTGATCAATGCATTTAAGAAAGGTCAATTTCATTATTATTGTTCTAACGGAACAATAATAATAAGGCTACTCTGTTGTTCTCTCTATTGTTCTTTTTTGCCACACTAAAGAAAATAGCCATATAAAAGCATTACGGAATGAATGACATCAAAGAGAAAAAACAGTTACATATTGTCTCTCTAGCCACATAATTACTGTCCCGTGAGAGCGTCCGTCCCCTTTTCTTGTCTGGGACATAACTCTGAATTACAAGAGATATCAAGACAGTAATGATATGTCCCGGACAAAAGAAGGGGACGGACGTTCTAACGGAACAGTAATAATAAGGCTACTCTATTGTTTTATCTATTGGTTTTTTGCCACACAAAAGAAAATAGCCATATAAAAGCATTACGGAATGAATGACATCAAAGAGAAAAAACAGTTACCTAGGAGAGACGAACGGACGGGCATAGCGGCGACTATATGCTCTCCCTTCGGGAAGTATAAAAATGACACTGAAATATCAAGAGATTGCTCAAAGCACAACAAGAAAATCATGTTTAATATTCGCTTCATTATTATATTTACAGCACAAAAGCTATAATACAGATTTTTTTGTATGTTGCCAAACAAATTACAAAGCAAAATTTATTTACATTAATCAAACCAAAAAAAGATAGTGACCATATAGATTCAGCTGTAAAATCAATCTATATCTATGTATATACATATCATATAAATTAATCAGCAACCTCAATATCACAATCTCTTTGACAATTACTGTAAAAGGATACAAACGGGCTCTTGACTAATATTTTCATGATAAACAATTGTCACATATTAAAGTAATGATATAAAACAAATATTCAAAATATTCAAAATTGAATAAAAAGTAGTTCAACAGTCGTGAATCGTTTGGTACATGGTTAAATGGTTAATGCAATTGAGATCTTTTGACATTGTTTCTTTGCTTTGCCTAAAGTCTTCTTAGATTACATATGAAAGAGATCAAATTACAAACTTTTTCGATATTATGAGTTTTCTTTTAGTTTGTAATAGGTACATACAACAACATGTTTGATTACGATCTATATGACATATAAAACATCAATTGTTTATAGAAGGACCAAATGTCACTGGGCAGGCAGAACGAGCAGCATGATCGAGACTCAACCCGTACCCATTGGTCATAGCTTTAACGTGAATGTATTTACAATATTGTATATCATTCAATAATTTATAAAAACAAAACCTATCGAAAAAGTCAATACATACATGATAAAAGACATAAACAACAATGTTAGTAAACTGTTTAAAATGTCATTCATATCTCAAAATATTGCTATGTATATTATCTAACAAGCACGCTCGCTGATTCAATATCACTCGCCGTAAAATATCAATCATTTATATACTCTCAGAATATGAGAGAAACTGTACTGAAAGTGTATTTACTTGATAATAAAAAAACAATATCCATAACACTTAGCCATGTCAAACGAGATAGCTTTTGAAATTGCTAAATTATTTTTTTTAATATTGCCTTAACTGTTTTTGTTTGTTTGTTTATTATTATTATTTAATTAAAGTATATATTATATCTATGATACAAATTCTACAATAAATCAAACATAAAACAAAACACAACAATAAATAATCCCTGAACACATCTTTGAATAATCTCAGTACAAAAGATGTGTTAGAGGTTGTCAGCCTAATTTACAAGCTTTAAATATCTTACAAAACCATACAATTTTACTCTGAGATACATAACAATTATTATTTATCTGAATGATAATGCATTCATTTTCTGTATGGTTGTGGTTTTTATTGTTTTATTTTTTTTTTCAATTAATAGAACCGTTCCAGAGTTGATGTTGAATTACTAGTTGCAAATTATCGCGAGCAAATAAAGATATCACCAAAATGATTAGGTTCTTAACGGTACCAATGTTTTATTATTTCAAGATTTGTGTTCTCTATATACAGAGTAAAGATCAATACATTTTTTTTAAATAAATGGAGTACGCGAACCGTCGCACGTTCACAATACAATAAACGACGTTCATGACGTCGCAAAATAATGTTTTACGAAATACAACAAGCGTCATTCTGTCTAGAAAGAAATGGAATATGAAGACGCACTAATCTTGGTCCTATTACGTTTTAAACAACCCTTGTATTTTAGAGCTGTTTTCAAGACAAGTAAATGTAGAAATTATGGTATTTTCTTTTCGTTGTAACCACATATCCATTTTCAAGTTGTAATAAATCTTTTGAAAAGTTTAGGAGATAATACTACTGCTCGGAATTTATTTCATGGATTCGTTAATCATAAATTTAAAATAAGGCTGACAACCATTATCCCTGGAATCACATCTTTATGAAAGACAATAAGTATATGTATATAGATATAATAAAATATGAAAGAAAACATAAAATATGAACACATCAGTAAAAAATTTGTAAAGGTTAAAAAACATGTTTGTGAACACATAATGGCCAAATATTACATGTTTGCCCCAGTGTAACAAATGTTACATAATATTTTAAACACATATTTCACAATCACACTGTATAAAAAAGAACATCGTAAACAGCTCAAAATAAAACCATTTTCTATATACCCATACAATTTTATATTGCCATCAACATTCTGTCTTAAATATATCACATTCATAAAGTTATTATTCGAAGATGGAATAAAACCCATATTAGGGTAACAATTTCAGGCAGTTAATAAGTATATTAAATATAATAAATAATGATACATTTGAAATGAGTTATGTATTATTGTATGCTGTAGGAAAAAAGTGTGATAGAAATTCAACCTTAATTCACAATGGATTGAAGATTTATATATTTAGAAGAAAATCATAGCACATATTTCAAAAAGAATGAAAACATTTTAGGCAATAAATTTTTGATTCATTACAAATCTCTTATCTCATTCTTATCACTCACTTGAAAGAAACAGAAGAGCTTTAATTACCGTATTGCATATAGGGCATCTGTCGTAATGCTTGGCACAATATTGGCAAGTTAAAAGGTGTGGATGTAAGCAACTGATGAATACAACGCTGCGGACTTCCTCTCTACAGCGTATGCAGTAATGACGATATTTCAACCTTTCGTTTTCTTCACGCAGAAGTCGAGTGTAGTAGTCTATGAAGTCTTCAACGCCTTCGTTCACTGGTACTAAAAGAAAAAGAAATAAAACTCATCGAAAACAGAATTCATAACATTTGGAAGTTCTCAACAACTCGAAAAGTGTCACCTAAAATCCATTTGTATTAACGGAGATAAGATCAACTCCGAAGAGTCCATTAGATATTTAGGCGCATTTCTAGACCAAACACTAAATTTCAAGGAACATGTCAAACGAAAGGGCCGTACTGCAATGTTAAACTATCTTAGAATAAAACGTATCCGAAAATACCTCACTAAAGAAGCAGCTGAAATACTAGTAATAGCACTCGTAATGTCACACTTGGATTATTGCAATGTCATTCTTTATGGTGTATCCGATTTTAAATTGAGAAAAAATGCAACGTATTCAAAACATGTGCGCTAAGTTAGTTCTGCAACGAAAGAAATTTGACAGTTCAAGGCAAGCATTGTTCGACCTTCATTGGCTGCCCATCAAATCTAGAATCGAATATAAAATTCTGACTTTTGTATACAATTGTTCAATCGGTCATGCTCCAAAATACCTTTCTGAACTCCTAACCAAACAAGTACCAAATACCCGACTACGTTCAGCTAAAACCTCTGAGAACTGCTACGTTATTCCATTCAATAAAAGAAAAAACATTTAGTGACAGAAGTTTCGGAAACTATTGGTCCAAAATTGTGGAATCCGCTGTCATTAGAGTTGAAACAATCTAAAAATATTGATGTATTTAAGAGAAATCTTAAAACACATTTTTTCAGAAAGTTTGAATCACTATTTTAAAATCTGAAATGAGATAAACATGAGTAACGTATAACTGATGACTGACAGTGTGATGAATGTGCAATGTAAATGAATGTTTTATTCTTTTTAATCTATTTGTAATCAAGTTACATGTATGTAAATAATCTTATCTCATGCTACATGTATATCAGTTTTATCATTTTATGGTCTCTAAATTTTTTTAAAGATATGTTAATTGGAATTGTATGTAAAAGCTTTTATTTCATTTGATGTTGATCCACATATTCTTATGCATTCACAATTTTATTCTTATTATATTATATGTACTGTACAACGCCGTTGAATATTGTTAAATAGAAACAGGCGTTTAATTAAATAAAAAGTTTCAAGTTTCAAGTTTCAAAACGTATGTTTTTGAAATCTATGGACATTTAGGGAATGAAAAAAGAGTGGAATATGTGTTTGAATGCGGAAATAGTAATAAATAGTAATGTATTTACGATTGTATAATGAAAATATGGAAAGGATAAATGTTCATTTTGTTCAGTCTCTGCTTGAATTTCGGGAGATAAGAAAATACTGTCACAATCGTTGAAACACTCTGCTCATTCTTTCATAAAAGCATAGTTTGCACTTTTTTTTTTGCATAACAGTTCTGTGCTGTTCTAAAAGGTCAAAGGCTGAAATAAATATGTAAGGCATATTATATGAAATCATTGACATGTTGATAATTGTCATAATTGATCAATATATTTGGTAGGATATTTTTTAATCCATGTTACTTTAAAATTTTCATTTAACTTAATCAAAAATATAATATACATGCAAACACAGAGGTGTGTCTGTTTCCTGAAACCTCATATCGTGGTTGAGTATCTTCTTCATTTTCTGGTACCGCTGTCATGCTATTAACAAAATGACTCCTCCGATGTCTTGCCTCTTCGCCTATGCAATTGATTTGCTCTACTCTATTAGATTGAGATGGTGTCATTACGGATCGGTGATCGCTGTTGGCATTGGCAATAGCATCCACCAGTGCAGGGCGTGGACGAGACATTCTAATTTGGTTCAAGAGGTTGAAGGTCTCCAGGTTACTGGCATACACCAATGCAGGACGTGGAAGAGACATTCTAATTTGTTCTCCAGGTGAAAAGACTTCTCTAGTCCGGTTCTAATCTGTAAAATCAAGTTAATACTATGAACAGTTATATAAATTTGTAATAACATATTCCTGGATTTATTCAGACTGCCAAAAAAACTAATACGAGGAAATATGGCTATATTTAAGGTAAACGTTTACATCTCTCTTTGAACAAATTGTTCAGTGCTTAAATGGCATTTTCTTTTTAAATAAACACATATATCTTCTAAGCAGCCACACAGAAGATATATTTATAAAAACAATGTATAGTGTTTTCAGCATTTCTGAAATCTGTGTATGCAAAACACAGATTTGTGTCCAAATCTGTGTATGCAAAACACAGAAATGTGTTCAATGTCTCGGCTATCAAAAATGTATGTCTATAATTAAATTTGATCTGTTGTTTTCTGTGTTTTCTAAAACCAGTTTGTTCGTCAGAGACTTGGCCATTTTGCATTTTGCTCAGGCAATTTACTTATTCTTTTGTTAAGAAATAAACAGCTTTATAAATAGACGATGATGAGACAATGCCTCTATACGACAACTGCTAGAGATACCCACATATTTCTCGATTTAGCTTGCTCCCATAAAGACTGGTAACTTCTTAACCAAAACAAATTTTAAATACATGAACGTTACACGAACGAAAGAAATAGAAGCATCACTAGTCAACCTTTCAACATAAAAATTTTCTTCATCATTTGCTTATTCATAAGTTACAAGTAACAAAGCATTTTATCATCTTACTTTGCTGATGTCTTCATTTAAAATTGGCATTTATTTCAAAGTAAAGATTATCAGAATACTTGTATGAGGAGCTTGAAAAAGGACTCTGTAAAGAACGCTCAAATCGGCAAAATCGAAAATGTTGCAGGTTTGATAGGCCTGTTCACTTGGAATAACCAAATTATGGCAATGTGACGAATTTCAAAAGAATTGCGTTAGAAATTGAGCAATTGTCAATGCATGAAATGATAAAATAATAAACCCCTGCACATTTTAACTGGACTGAAAAAAGGAAAGGCACACATATTTTAGTCAATTTAATTGTGTATGTTCTGTTATATCATAACAATGCCTCGTATATGATATCAATATCATTAAGAACATATCAGTTAATAAATGCCCTAATAAATACATATCTGCAAGCTTACGTAATGTACGATATTCTTTATTTAGAAAAATGTGCATACACCTTTAAGTCATGTCTATTTAATAACCATGGTCCAAGCGCGTATACATCCTAAGTTAATTTATAGCAATATGTAGAATTTGAATATTGAACATTATTTTAAAAATAAGTAAACAAACTGTACCCCAGTTGTACGGTACGACTCACTTTGTAGCTTTTCAGTACGGTATTACATATATATTTGGGGCAAACATTTTTCTCTTGGTATTAATATGAACATACTTGGTATAGAAACGCTAGAAAATATTTCAAGTATCACCTAATCTCTAGGCAATGTGGTTCCGGAGAAGATCTAATATCTTTAAATTTTTACGTTTAAAATCATTTTTAGCTTACATAAAATATGAATGTATCAACACAGCTTTCGTAGAGGGGTCAATTAAAGATCAATCGTGTGAAATATGGTCCAAACCCACCTTGTGTTTAAAAAGTTGTTGAAAGAAAATGTGGATAACGACGGACGACGTACGGTAAAAGATCTCAAAAAGCTCAACTTCAAGAACTTTGTGCTCAGGTGAAGTAAAGAAAACGTGTTCAGATTTTGACAACATTTTATAAATTCATTTCAATTATTGTTAATGTAATTTTGCTACAATTTCGCATTGGATTTAATATTACCCTTTTGTGACCTATATCAATAAATATAAAACTTACGTATTAGATTATAGCTAAAATCCTGTTACGTTACAATTACACTTAAATTAAAATACTTGAATATATTGATAAACGGTTAATTCCCCATAATTATATCAAATATTGTCTATGATCAAGGCTATGAAATTAGCTATAAGGGAAGTATAAATAATTCAGTAAACTGTACTTTATTTTAAACATTCGAGTTCATATACGAAGAACGGTAAGTCGGCCAAGGGTAAGATTGTAAATCGGTCGTAAGCAAGGTTAAACAATTGCACTGTTTTGACTTTTCTATGTAAAGTAGATCAATGCTACCTTTCTGTCGAGACTATAAATAAAACATATATCATAAGGAATGCGGCAATATCTATTTTTGACAGTTTAGACACATGGTGTTACAATAATGTTATAATCGTATATTTAATAAAACAAAAGAACTTTTAATATTTGAATTAATATATATCGAATCGTAAAAAGCGACTTGTTTTTTTAACACCGAAAGTATTATTTTTTTTAATCAATTGTATTATCTTTATCATATAAACTACTGTATTATATGTTGTGTTCTATTGACTGTTAATCAGCCAAGCCTACCAATATAATTATTCCGCTAACAACATGGAGATTGATACCATAAAAAAGAGAAAAACTGAATCCTAAAAAGAATGCCCAAAACGTCAAAATTGAAAATGCTGCAAGCTCGGTTTGAATGAGGCTTTTCATAAACAGTAGTTGTAGCAAGCTACCACACATGTCCCCTAGCACCTGTATAAGCAGACGTCACCGTTTAAACATGAAGAAGGTGAAATTAAGAAGCGTCAAGTTATATATTTATTTTGCGGTTATCTTGGAACCTTCAATAAGACACGTTCATATCGTTCAAGAAGAGTAAAAAAAATGAATTTTTGGCAGTGTTTTACCAACGGACATGAACGTGACAATTGCTGCCAATATACGGAAAGGATGAAGATGAATTTTAGTCCTTTGACATAAATTAAAACAAACACAACAATAAGATCATGATTATAAAATATCTCTGATTAAATGAATATAATTATAAGATACATGGCTTTGAAAATAATACAGACATAACAATTAACAACTCCGGAAAGGACAAAACGCTCGTTTAGATTTAGCTGATATTATCAATCTATTATGAACGCATTCAGCACGGTTTTAAATAAGTATGGGTAAGAGTTCGTATTAAGACGACCGTAGGGAGTCTTATCGTACTCTTACCCATATAACTGCAAATCGGCTCTTACAACTCGATATCAGATAAAAATATAGAAAGTGTCACCTCTTTAATTAAGCATAACATTATTTTTCCCCAGCAGTCACGTACAAACATGTTTCCTTTAGTCTACAGGTGGATCGGGTCAAATTACCTAACTGTAGCAATGTAATCAAAGTAATTATTTTATTCACATCTTCATAATATTTTAAATTATTAATGCAGTTCATTCCTATTATATAAAACTTACTTTTTCTAGAAAATAAAAACAGTCATAAACATTTTTATAAGGATATCAAAATGTTACTATGTAATCATTTGTCTCTACCAAATCCAGGTGTATTATCTATGTAATAAATTTGAATATATACTCAAATTGCATCAGTGTTATCAGCCTTTTTAGAAACACCTGACCTGGCTAATTAAAATATGCCAATCACAATTATCACTATCAGCACTGGTTTCTTCATGAAAAAGTGGCTACACTTATTACTGCCGAGTAAGAGCCGATTTGCAGTTAGCCTGTGAAAGACGAATTTTGCGGTATCCGTCATTCTGAACGTACGCAATATTCTACTTCCAACTTGATTGAAGGAGGATACAGCATTATTTAAAGGCAACTTTTATATAATATCTTTCAAAAGTATTCAATGAATGTTGGACAATAATGTTTACACTTGTTTATTCAAATTTGCTACACCTAACCGAGTCAGCTTTTTGTGACCTATAATTAGAAATAATGTGATGTAAAAGATTACAGCTAAAATCCCATTTTTTTCTATTTTAAGGTATTATTACACATAAATAAAAATACATTACTCTTCAACACATTTATAAACTGCTTCTCCGTTTTGGGTGTTCTTTAGGGTTTCGGTTTCCTCTATTTTATTGTCATATCTGTGTTAAATGTAAGGAGTGCGTAAAAAGTCGTCCCGTACATATAATAAAAGGTGCTAGTTTAAAATCGTTCAGTACGATATTACTATTGTGTATACATGTTTTTGGTTTCTTCTATTTGGTCTTTTTAATCACCCTTAGGATACGTTGCCTGCTTTCCAAAGTTGTCTTTGACGTCTTATCTGTGATGCAGGCTTCATAACATCAGATCCCTGATATGCAGGCTTCATAACAGATCCCCTTTCAAAATAACGGTTTATTTAGTTCCGCCCATTGGGCACACGATTTCTTTTACTTGGGGACCATACGCCGCTTTTCATGATAAGGCACATACGTGTCACGTTGAAGGATCTATGATAATCGCCGAATGAACACATCTGCGGATGTTTATAAATTATAAATTTCGCCAGTACCATGATTAAATATGATTAAATATTGAAGTCTGCTTCAGTCGGTGCTAGGGGGCGTGGACAGTAACTTGCATTTTCCAGTAGCGTCCATGAACAGGCTGATCAAACCGAGCCTGCAACATTTTCATTGTGAGCGCGCGCGTGTGTATGTTTGTGTGTACGTGCGTGCGATCTTTCATGATTTCGGTTTTCTTTATTTTAACAATTATATTATTTTTGATCAAAGGTCTTTTTAACGACAATAGCTACACATGAACTAAAATTCATTCAAGAATGTTAAGAAAAATGTACTTCATACTTTTAATATTTTAAATATTTTAAAGTTAATAATTTACACAGACGAAGACTGTCCCGATGAAGCAGTTAGTGTGTTAATGTGTAATGACTGTATACCTTGAATTCTATTTATATTGCTTAAAATGGTACAAAAGATCCATTAACTTAGATTTAGTTATCTTCCTTTTTTCCAGAATTAATTAATTTGAAAGAATATTGTTGAACATAATGAGTTAATTATAATATTCAATGGCACTATGAAGACATCTTAATACATGTATTTTATAAATAATATATAATCAAATTTGTATATCCCAAATATATATAATAACTGCTATGGTGTAAAACTGATATTCAAAATATCATTTTAGATACAATCAAATACACTTT